CCGCTGAACGAAGATTAGTTAAGTTTGGGGTTTGTATCTTTTTCTATACCATTAAAATTTGTTCCCTAAGGTGCCACGTGGTGGAAGCTCTCATCTACATTGGTGATGGAGCTTGGCAAACACACTTCCTTTATCAGAAAACGGGTGAAATCAACTGTTCTATTGTGGTGTCAGTAGAGCAATTGTCCACGATAAACGGGACAATTTTTTCGAAATGGTTTCAATTTCCTATTTGTTCATTCTTAAACAGCTTCGTTGTGAGCAAAACATTTTTCATGTGTGTCCTTAGTGAGAGCCGGAGGGAAGCTTGGTCGCCGGCATTTACCTAGGGTCTCGGGCTTTTAACGGGTTCCAAATTGTATGTGGATGTGTAGTGATTAGAAAGATCTTATGATCATCAGTTAATCAAGTATGGGTTACGTCACTGGATACACAATATAATATAATGACAAGAACCAAATGACTGCTAAATGTTTATAGCCTGACGTAAGTAAAAGCCCGTTTCCATCGCTGGTCAAAATCCTCAAATCGATATTGCTACATTCCACACTCCAGTGACTAATCCTTAGTTGTAAACTGGCTGTTGCATCAGATTAGTGATTATCAGACTTCATTGGGACTGTCCATCAACATCGAAGGTATTTACTTTTAATTACGTTGCATAGGCCTTGGGCACGGACACGTTCATCCCTTTCACTGCCATCATCGGATTCCTGACCAGGTGAGTGTAACCAGATTGAGGGAGTTGACATTATATCGGCAGACACTTGTTGCCACTGATATTAAAAAGAAAATCTTGGAGCGCTGATGCCCTTCCTTGGCTGTCGTAGTATTCACCACATGTGAATCCCATTCGATGTTTATTTGGATCCGGTTAAGCTACTGCTCAATGAAAATTCCAAACGCCTTATTTTTCAAATCTCAGTGGTCAACATATCAATTATTTTATTTGCTTAGGAATTGTTGCGAAATGGCCGACAAAGAACACTGGACAGTTGTTTCGTCCTCTTTTTTTATTTTGTCAGCAGTGCACACATTTTGTATCTCTGCCGGGTTCGAAATCGTTAGCTATGATGCTATCAGTCAATGTTCACCGCCTTGGGTGAGTGAATACAGNCAGCAATCCACAATGTTATTTTGGATGTGCCCATTTTATTCTCACACGAGTCGGCCGCTGCCTCAGGTGTGTTGTACACGTTGGTGCCAAGTCCTAACAAGGGAAGACAACTTTCCCATCGCATAACAGTCCCCCAGTTCAGTTTATCCGACTACTCTTTTCTTCAACCTGTTTAATAAAAGGTCCACCCAACTTGAAACGATTTGGGTGTTTCTAAACCACTCGGTCTTTTGTTCTCTTCTTCTCTTGGTTACAAGTATTGCTCTCTCTGGGGAATTGCCACAATTTTTCTTATATCGACCTAAAAAACCTGATCTCAATAACTATCGTCCTGCCAGTCTCCTCTTAGCAAGTTCAACGGTGCGCCTTTCGAAAGCGAAGATTTATCGAGTGATCAGCGAATCGGATTTGACTCACCTCATTCCTCTAGGGACCTCATTGGTCTCACCTCGCTTTCCTGGTTGAATAAACGCGATAAACCCGGCGAATTTCATTTAGTTTCTCTCGAAAGCCCAAAGCCTTTGATATCAAGGTCCGGACACCAAATCCCCTATTTTAGAATTCAATCCGACTCACGTAACGTAATATTTACGCAGCGAGCGAACCATCTCCGCCAGAGTCGATGGGGTCGTAACCTGGCCGTTCCCTGCGAAGGCCGGTGTTACCCAAGGCTATACAATTGCACCTGCCCTCGTTCTATTTATTACTGACCTGTCCAGAATCTCCTCACAGACGATGCAACCATTATTGGACCTTTTTCTTGTGAGCCTATGAACCGCCAGGCCTCCAATAAAATCGGTCATGATCACAATGTCATTAGTTTATCACTGGCTTCCATATCAGGACACATCTTGTCAAATTCTACCATCTGCGTTCAGTTCTGTGCTTTCAATCTCCCTTACCCATGCTTCTTACTGCTCGCGATTGAATTTTAACTCGCTTCTGCTTCGTTCCACAAATTCTGTCTGCTTGCCTTTATTTATGTATACACTTGCCTGTCGCCCTGCGTACCAAACTGAGTTCCTATTCCGCTCCAAAAGTTTCTTTATGCCCACCCACCAACCTAGTGCTGAATGCAGCAGTTACGCATGGGGTGAATGTTCCCGTTTTATTGCTTCCGTTCTCGACCGAGTTGAATGGAAACAATGATCTGTCTTTAATCTCAAATCTGTTGTCGTTTTCTCATTACCGAGCAGTTGATTTGTTATCTGTTCAAAACTGCTACTATTTCGTCTTTCAAAACCCTCTCCAGCGGTTCCCCAAACCCGTCTCCATCTCGATCACAGGCCACAAATCACATTTATCAAGCATTCTGTGTCCATATGACGAACTTATATTTTTCGTTGTTCCTTTTACACAGGAGTGAAAAACTGTGGAACATCCTCTGTTGTGATTCTTGCAACATTCACCGTTCGAAAGTAGGATCAACTTATTAGTTCTTCATTGGTTGTTCCCCTTTTTGTTGTCACTACTATTGATTGACTGTAATGCCTTTGGTGGTATTGATTGGTTGCTCAATATTGGCTTCTGCCACGTACGCACATCACGCTGATTTGGTTCATGCCAAGATCAATTTACTTGGGCCAGTCAAATTAGTGCTATCCGCACTGATCGATTCGGTGCGTGTTCAATCGCACCCAGATTGAATGAAATGCATTAGTTTACTACTGTTAATTTAGACTACATGCCTGCTTTTCTTACGTACGTCTAACCGGATGTAACCCTCTTAAGCGTGCTGCGATGATTGTCCACACCAGCAAAAGGAGATACTTGAATACTGCGTTTACCTACATTTACGGATACAACACTCACTCATCCCGACACAACGCATGCTGACCATGAGGTTTAGTCCATCCGCTGAGAATAAATTTATGTAATCAAACAAATTTCCGGGCAATAAAATACATCGCAAATGTGGGTAATAGACGAAGTCTCAAATGCTTGATTCCTAAGACAGTCCAATGGATCTATCTAAGCATAAGGTTATTCACTTTATTTGTGTAATGTTACAAATGTTACAATCTTAGATGGTCTAAACTTGAAATTCTTACTTTCAACCATGATAAATTTTAATTTTTTCGAAACGCTTTCAACAATCATTTTAACTAGAGAAAGTTAAGCATGAGAGTTGTTGCTGACAAAGATGCGCCAACATATGCAATTTTTCGAAAAGGCAGTTCGGCTGCGGGAAACGATGACTGGTGTGGAACGTAAACGTAGACGAATCTTAGTCACATTTTGTGTCCAGCTGTATGGTAAAGTTCACCTAGGTCAATGAGCCCAAATATAGTTTCGGTACATTTCGTCTCCTCAATTTGGATACCACTAGGACCGAGTTAATTCTTAGAGCTTTTGAATGATCTATAAAAGTCTTTCAGACCGTGCGACATGCAGTTACAATGTGGCTGACTTCGCAGCAACCGCAAAACACTATCTTCTTATCGGGATCATGCAGTCTTTTAACTACTTCTATTAACGTTAAAGGTCACTCATTTGACTCTGTCTAATGTTTGTAAACTATAAATTATTTTTTTATGTGATTAATGCAGCTTGAGCTGAAGACCTGGGAAGCACTACAGCCGTTTCGACCTGGTTGAGTCCCTTCAGCAGCCCAATCATAACCCTGGAGGCTAATGCTGAGAATGAGCGAGGACCGATACCCGTCACAAGCTCGCATAGATGGGTTGTGCTATATCGTGTATATTCAACAT